ATATAATTGCACATAAAGTACTGTTTTTCTGCTCTTTATATAGCTTGTAGATGTAATAAGACACTGTTCCCAGGGTGCACTGTCCCGAGATCTGTGAGGACTCTTCCCGTGATGTAGTAGGACTGTTCTGACAAAATTGTTTTAACGCTCAGACTCTGGGTAACAAGGTTTGATTAAGACCCTGTAGTTTCTCTTTATGCCTCAGCCCTGTTAACTTAGCATGGTCCTATCTGTTCTATTTATTTTTAGTGATTATTTTGTGCTGCCCTAACCTCTGAGCTTTCAGCCTGCTTAGAGGTTTGTATTGACAGTGAGTAACTGCTTTGTCGGCTGGAGAGGCTGGAAATAGCGTGGATGGCAAACTCCTGATCTGAGGTCATGACAGTATTCCTGAAGTTTAATTCTGATGGTAGTTGGTGCCAGAAGCTTCTGGACAAAGTTGCAAAAACCAAGTGTTTGGTAGCAAAGCTAATAACTTACTCTGAGGGAAAATGTGTTTAATTCTGAAATAGGAAGATTTATTTGGGAGGAAAACCTTAAGCTTTTGGTGTTTGGCACCAAGGCAGATCTTTGTCCTGGAGAGATGTGTTTTATTTTGACCTCCTCTTATAGATGAGGGTGAAAAGTATTCTGTAGTTAATGGGTTTGATTGTTCTTGTTCCCTTTTCTTTTTTTTTTTTTTTCCTCCTTTTGCTTCTTCTCTATGTCATATCCACCTCAGTGAGCTAACTTACCTAAAATATTAGTAGCGCTGCAGTAAATTTGATCCCTGATGAAATGTATAATGTCAGCATTTTAACTCTGGTGTTGCTTCACTGAGACGAATGGTGAAATTGGGTACATCTGAGGTAATGCTCAGTGGATTGCATTACAGTCATCCCAATCTTTTTGTAACAGCATCTGAAGCTGCATGTTACGTTAAACATACAGCTCTTTTTATAGCTGGTTCCTGCATGTAATAACACTGGAGCTGATGCAGGTGCGCTTTGAGCTTTTAAAAACTGATAAAGTGGAAAGAAAAGTGTAATTTTATTCTTGAAGAGGCATTCATAGCAATTTATAACTAGTTAAAGGCCACCATCAGTAGTATTTGGCAAACTGTTCTTAATGGAACTAGTTTCTATTCAGTCTACAGGCCTGTACAAATGATGTGGTATCTGATACCTTCTCTTGGTAATGGTACTGAGGTTTTTGTTAAAGGTGATATTTTTACCTGAGTACCCATAGATACTGTAGTACTTCTGGTTCCAATTTATTAAAAATCATATATATGCACTTAAAATGACTGTAGAGGATGCAGGGGGAGAGAGAGAATACTCTGCATATGACAAGGCACTTTCCAGCCAGCTTAGACAGATGTGGAAACAGCCGACTACAATCAGAGTCCCATCCAAACAACTCTTGTTCTGTTGTCATTTGTTAAGGTATAAATGCGCATCTACAGATGCTTCAGGGAGTGTCCTAAATGCTGCCTGGTCTAAGAGAAGAAAGTGGATTCCCATCAGTGTTTACAGTATCTGTTACATTTACCTTAGATAATTTTTTTTTTAATTCCCTTTTTAAAATCTCATTACAGCTGCCAGGTACTGCAGCATGTTAATTGAAGAAGGTGGTTTACAGCACTTATACAACATCAAGGAAAACGTCCAGACTGATCCACATGTCCAAAGGATTGCTATTGCCATCCTAGATAGTTTGGAAAAGCACATTATGCGTCATGGGAGACCACCACCATGTAGAAAACAGCAACAAAATAAGCCAAACTGAAAGCTGCAGCTGTAGGGAGTGTAAAGTATTGTCTCTGTAATAATCCTTTCTAATGTGTGTGTAGTTGGAGTAACTTGTTAATATAGTGGTCACCATTAAAGTGAATTGCCGGTGATTGTGGTACCCAGAACAATGTACGGTAACCGTTGTGAATGTCAACTTTAATGGCAACCGCATATACAACTTGTGAAGGGTCACTGCTTGAGCTGGTCATACCTGTAGGATTACTGCTGGCTACAAAGAGACGAGACTTGTACAGATAAATATGGACATCTGGAAAAAAAAAAGACTTCTAGGAATATATTATTTTGGGACTTCTGGGAGAGAAAGTTATTTCATCCCTATGATTGCTGTTCATAACACTGTTTACTAGTTTGGTGTTTGAATAGAACTGTGTGTGGTTGTGAGATTCAACACTTTTACAGATTAAAACAAAAGTACATGCATGCAGGTTACAGCGAGACTTGTAACTAAGGCGACCAAAACGTCCATTGTCTCATAACCCATCTAAACACAACTGGGGTCTTCGACTTCCTTTTCCTTTTGCCTGCAAGCTGTGATCTTTTGTTTTCCTTACTGCTAGAACAACGTCTTTTTGCAGTTCGGCTCTAAGTCCTCCCTACTCTTAATAAGGCAGGGGTAGGCATTGCATCAGGGAAAGGGAAACCTGAAGTAGAGCAATAGAAACAGGATTAAAAGATTAACTATGCTTGAGATTTTAAGAAGGAGGTTCTGTTGTTGTGTGACTACTTTTGGTTGTGTGTGATATCTTTCTTTTGTTTTTTGAATACTGATAGCGAAAGGAGAAGGCTCATTAGAGCCAAATACTGACTTGTCTTCATCACGAAGGGGACTGCATGTCTTGATAGGAGACTCAGGATATTTGGTCACCTTATTTATAAGAGAATAATAATTGCTCTATTGTCTTCTGTAAATACTCTGTCAGTATTGTGCAGTGAATTATATTTCCAAGTCATCACCGTGCAAAGTATCACCCCATGTTCTATGTAAGCCCTGTGTCAATGGCATTGTTTTGTGGAGTGTGAAATTTTACATAAAGATGCTAACTGTAACACTGTTTTTCTTTCTTGGTTACCTATGGGTTTCAAATTATGTGTTCAATGCAACATATTGCACAGCATACAGATGCCTGATAAAATTCAAGCGATGGAAACAAACTGCATGTCCATTCAAATTCAGTTTAATTTCAGGTATTGTTTTTGTTTATCTGGTTAGTCTCCATATTTCTGTGGCAACTGATTGATATTCAGAGACTCTTCTGTAAATATATTGGTAATGGAGTTTAAAAACAAAACTTATGTTTGGTAGCTTACTAGCAGGGATGGCTTCTTCACGATGACCATATTTTACTATTTTTAACTCCTTCCCTCTCCCAACTCCCATCCTTCAGATAAAAACATCACCTCTAATCTTCAACAATCCAGTTATTGTGTATTTCAAAAATTGCAAAAGGTACTGACCCAGTAATTTAATCAATGTTGTTAATTAATTGCTTTTTGTATGAAGATATAATTTGGCTAGCATAATTTTTATGTCTGTATCTGGTTATATGCAGTTTTCTTGATTGGGAAAGAAATTAAATTGGTTGTAGCTTCGAATTATGAAGGTGGTTTAAAAAAATGAAAAATGGCCTTCAAGCCATGGCCTGCTATGGGACTTCTGCTAAAAAATTTCCATTGCGTGAAATGGAACACAAAACTTGTCAAAGTTGGTGTCAATAGAATGAATATAATTCAATTGCTACAAGATTTTAAAATAAAGATGACAGATCTCCTTACAGTACTTTTTTTTTTTTTCCTAATAACAGGAGAACTTGATGAAGCATCTTAACTAAAACTGGGAGGGGGAAAAAAATTTCCACTGCCCCACGCAGCACAAAACGAATGCGATACTGGCATCAGTCTAGATAGTGAAGATGTCACTTTGTTAAGTTTTGCAGCCACCAAGCACAGAGACTCTAAATGGTTTTCCATAGCCTTCTTGTTTTGTTCTCACATGCTTCAGGCAAATGAACAGTGAGCAGAATTCTTTTAAACTGGAAAGTCTGAATGCTTACAAGGTATAAATCTACTAAATTTACTTGGATGTGCCATTTACAGAAGCGTTTTTTCTCTCAGGAGTTTGTGATGGGGTCAGAATAATTCTGGAAACAACTTTTAAACTTGTATTTCACCGGAGACATTTGCCTTTTGGTTTTTTGTTGGTGTGTTGTTTTTTTTTTTGGTGAAGGCTGAAGATCCTGACTCTGCTTTTCCTTTGCAGGTCTCTACATAGAAAACTTGTATAATCTCATAAGGTTATCTCACCCACAGAATTGTTTGGGTAACTTTTGGCACAAGTGAAATTGTGGTTTGCTTCAAGACTATCATAGCATGCACTAACACCTAGTTCCAATGTGGTAAGCCTTATTTCCTAAGTATATTCTGATAACTAAAGGATTTACTAAAAATACATTTCTCTAACTGTATTAATTCACTTTTGCTTGAAAGCCCCAATCTAGGGAACTAAGATGCACTAGAGCTAGACTGTGTGGCCTGTCTCGGTGCTGGAGAACGTCTAAGCAGAAGGGGAAAATAACTTCCAGTCAGCAACAGAGGAAGATAGGTGATGGGAGAGAAGCAACATGCCCGAGAGGTCTGGCATAGATTGGTACAGCGGCCATAAATACGTGCACATACAGGCATTACATTTCTCAAGAGCTAATACCAAAGAGCCCCAAGATCAGTTGGCTGACCTGGTAGCCTGGTGTTTTGCACTAGTCACAACCGATGTGGGGTGAAACGCCTTTGCTCTGTGTTAATGCTGCTTGTTCTGTCTAATTAGGTGGAAGAGCACCAATAATGGGAAGCAAGCTTAGGAAGGTTTTCTCTATAAGCTGACTTTCTCTTCAGAGTGATTTTTTTTTTTTTCTTTTTCCTATCACTGTTTAGGTGCAGCGTGGTTATTTTTAATTTATTTAAAAAATTTGCTTATAGTCAGACATTGGAATAGGCTGCCCAGGGAGGCGGTTGAGTCACCGTCCCTGGAGGTGTTTAAAGGTCATTTATATGTGGTGTTGGAGGATACAGTTCAGGGGTGAGCTTTGTAGAGTAGGGTTACTGGTTGGACTCGAGGATCCTGAATGATTCTCTGCTTCTCCGTATTCCTCGCCTGTCATCTGTTTGAGAATGATAACCACTGACTTAAGATGTATGCACTTAAAAAAGATCAGCTGTACAAAGTTAAATCTTTATTTTGGAATTCTTAGAGCAAAACAATCCAGTGGAGTATTCAGAAATGCAGTCCAAGGCAAGGAGCTAAGTGCACAGAATGCAGTCATAAAAATCATCCCAAGAAATCAGTTGGGTCTTCTCTTCGGTCCTTCTTTACTTTCAAAAAATCGAGGGGAAGCCAGGAAGCATTATTTGCCAATAAACTGAGGTGGTCTTTTCTCCTTGAAGGCAGCCATCCCTTCCTGACGGTCTCTTGTGGGAATATTCTACAGTTTTCAAAGATGAAAAAAACCACAAAAAGCAAGAGCCAAAAAAAGGTATGCTTTTCATTGAGAAGTCTGATGTGTTTTTAAGTATTGACTAATTTGGCAGTAGTGGTCTAAGATAAAATTTGCTTTTCCTTCAATGATAGATGAAGTCCCACCTTCTACATTTTGCCATTGGGAAGATAAAGAGACTGGCTTGTAGTGTAAATCACAAGCAAAGCATCTAAGACAATGACCATAGACCAGGGAACTAACAGGAAAACTGTAAAACAGTTTGCCATAAATTTAATACTTTAACATCTTTAAATACACTGAGAGGCAGAGCAGTTATGTTCCTCTGTTAGGTGAGAACGGTGCCATTCTCAAAACTTCTCAGAAAGAAAAACTACATGAAGAATCTGGTTTTTAATTTGTTAAAACTAAAGCCATCTGTAAAGCTCATCCTATAATTAAAATTCTGTTGAAACTAAGAATATACAGTTAGTTTAGACAAAAGACTATTTAAGAAAGTTTAGTCTCAGGCAGGCTGAGAGGCAGCTACACGATACAATAATTAATATTTTGAACTAGGTATCTGGAACTGCACTCAGGTGTGTTTTCAAAGGTTTAGATTTAGCTGTTTGTGTTCCCTTACAGAGAGGAAAATACAAGAGGATGCTGTGAATATCTGGCTTCAGAAAATGTATAGTTGTTCTTTTCAGGAATGTTTTCTGAAGGTAACCTACCTGGGCGTAACACATCCCCTCAATAGCCATCCCTGATGCAATGTCAACCTGGGCATGAGAGGAAAGGAGTCAGGTTTTTTCTGCAGCATAGCCCACAAAACTATGTCACAGCCTTCACATCAATAAATATTCACTCATACTGAGTGACCTTCACTTCTGAATTAGAACTACAGTGTGTGCATCCGTAGAAAAAAAGATCCTGATGTTTTAATTTTGTCTTCAAAGAAAATCTTTAACCCCCCTGAAATGGTTTAAAATACCTTGTCTAAACAAATACTATAACTCTGCTGTTCTAAATACTTCTACTGCAGTAATTTGTAAGAGCTACCTGTTTCATTTACCTCAGTATTAAAAAAAAAAAATTACCTCCATTCCTCTGTTTATTGCTAGTTTTCCCATTTTCACAGCAAATGGAGCCTTAAAAAAGAAAAACAAAAAAAACCCTAAAGCCAAACCACAACAAAATTTAAAAATAACTAAAGCCACATCAGTTCATAATACTGTAGATGTTATTTCATTATCCTAGCACCAAATGACCTTTTGTTTATAGAAATTTGCAGGAAGTTAGTATTTTTTAAAAAAAGCTTAGTATTATTTACAGTTAAGAGGGGAAGGTTTCCTGCAGGTCTGCGTAACCGCAACTTGGAGCTAAAAGTGTCCTATGGGTTAAGCAGCTGGCTGTTAACACTTGTTCCTACAGAAACTGCATTTACAAAAAGAAGACAGAATTGAGAGACTTAAACATGAGGAACCAAGACATTCCAATTATTTGTTTGCTTTCTCTTGAGGAAGGCAGAAATGCCTTCTTGGCATTGACTGCACAAATCATACACTTACCTGAGGAAGGATTTCTTTAGCCAAAGTTAATGCTCTCTGGTAAGCTGCGTCTCCCTCGCTGTTCTGTGGCACTGTGTGATTTACTAACCCCATTGAGGCGGCCTGTTGTCCATCAATCTGCCTACCAGTGAAAATGAGCTCCTTGGCAAGACCTATTCCAACACATCTGGGCAGGCGCTGGGTTCCACCTTATGACAACAGCAAAACCACCGTTTCTCATTTCTGATAAATGCCCAAAACCCAACAGTGTTTTTTTCCTCCTTATATAACAAAAGGGTTTAAAAAATAAAGGGACTGTGTGTTCTTTAATAACTACTAGCTGAATATGTCACATTTTACAAGGCATCTGAAACGCTTCAGCATGCTTTCAAGAAACAGGAAAAGGTGTAAAGGGGCTTTCCTAAATTCATAGCCAGTCTGAGACAGGGCTTGGAACAGAACTCTTGATTTGTACATCACTTGGGTCGCCTGTAAGATGCTACTTCTAATTTACAAACCCACTTAATTTCAATTTACACTTCAAGTGTTCTAATGGCAAAATATTTACTTATACAACTGAGAAAATAAGAGGCTGAAGATTTAATTAGTATTACCTGCTCCAGGAAGAAGCCCTCTTGTAGTCTCAATAAGGCCCATTTTAGCTGACGAAGCTATTAGAAAATATATATATAGGGTTTAGTTACTTTTTGATTTGTATAACTACAAATTTCCCATACTTAATTAATAAAACCACAAACTGTCAATATTGAATTGGAACTCCAGGCAGCTAGGAAGTCTGAATAGTACAGTGATTAATCAATGTCCATCGCAAGTCATATGAGGCATGTGTAGTATGCTTACCTCTGATTTAACTAGGGAAGGTTAGATCTAGCCAGAGTTATTACACAATAACAACTATTTAATTCTACCAATAAATAGTTTTCTGAAGGAATTCTAATCCTGTCTAAAAATAGGCTTTACTTTTTAAGCATCAAAACTGCTTTCCCAACAGTAACTAAATGCCGCTGTTTCTAAACAAATGGCTACTCATTTCTTGAACTGTGTAAGTTCCTCTTTTAGCCTACTGGATTGCATTAACATTCAGCTAGTATGCCTGTAAGTTCTCTTTAGAATATAGTCACCAATTACAAGAAGAATCCTATATTAAGCAACAAACAAACCTGCTACTCGAAGGTCGCAAGCTAACGCCAGTTCCAGTCCACCCCCCAATGCGTAGCCATCGATTGCAGCAATCGTGGGTACAGGCAGGGCAGCTAGAGAAGACAACACAGATTATAGAGTTTTGTTCCAGAAGTGCTGTTCCACTCACGTCTGGAATTCAAGTGCTTAAATCCTAAAGCTTTTCTTAGTTCTCAAATTCAGAATTGCTCAAGAATTCATTCTTCTGCCACAAACTTTCTGTCTCTAAACAGTAGAAACTGTCTTTTTTGACTTCTTCCTCCTTTATAAGAACAACACAAAACATCCTTCTTACACGCAAAGAAGTGTGGAAAAACTAAGTACTAAGACACAAAACAGGATGAATTGTCTCCTTGCAGAATTATGATGTGAATATCCAGCTGCTGCAGTTAACAGTCAAAACAAAAACACCATCCCTGGTCATTGTTACAAGGATTAGGTTTTCTGGTGCTTGTGTTAACACTAAGAATAGGGCTGTCACTTGAGGAACCTGAGGTACCTGGAGATAGTTGCTGTTTAAGATACCTTTTTAAATACTCAAGGAGCTGGAGGGAGACTTCAGACATGCTGAAACCACTTCTTCCTACTCCAGCACTGACTGTTTCTGTGGTTTGTGAGACAGAGTCATTTTCTCTATGTTGTTGCTTGATTTTTAGTTACTGCAATTCTGACTGGTATTTTAGTCAGATTTCACTTTGGTATTTCTCTCTAGTGAGAGCAGAGTAATTCATAAGCAGGGGAGGAAAATCAGCTGCAGAAGTCCATATTCCTTTTGCAAAAAAAAAAAAAAAAAGAATGAGGGGGCAAGAGGGAGTTGGACGTACAAACCCCTGACATTCAACAAATCCATTTATTAAACCTATTCAGAGATCCAAATCCATGTTCTCAGGTCACTGCTGTATCATAAGTACCTCTGAGCACGTACTGAAAGTGGGGAACCAACATAGCTCATTTTGTCTACCACTGTCTTCCTCTGAAGAACTACACTGCACTGTCTATGGGATGCTTTGTTAAAGGTATGTGGGTGTTAAAGGCATGTGTGTGTGCTGCTCTTTGTCACAGAACAGGCAGTACTGAAATGCATCCTGCCCTTGGGAGTGGCAGCAGGATATTTGGTAATTAAATCTAATCAGATATTTGTTTCAGGCATAAGCTGGAGCCACCTTAGGAAGCTACCGGTAACAGGTAACCTGCTGGAGTTCCCCTCCCACAGCACTTCTAAATGTCCCAGTATAGGCAGCCTAGGACAGATTTCCCACCTGAGAAAACCATTTACCTATTTCATCCATGAGATTTCTCAGCCTTTTAACAAAGTGCCCAACTTCTGCGTCATCCATCTTTGCACGTTCCTTTAAGTCTGCACCTAAATACAGGATAAAAAGGTTAGAATTCAGGAACAGGAAAAAGACATCTGAACTGTGTTCTTTCCAGTCCCTCTCAGAGGACAGACCACTTGAGAAGTCTTGAAACACAGTGTTCTGGATAAGTAAGGTCAGTGGAAGTTGGATTGTGGACATCGGGGCTGGAGCAGTGGCTACGGTGCTTCTCGGTGCCCTTCAAACAGGTTTCATTGGGAAATACTGATCACTGTATGTAAGGATGATAATCCATAAAACAAAACCAAGGACTCCAACACCAGAGGCACCTGTGCTTGAAGACGGTTATAAATGGAAAACAAACAGTAGCACTGCGCAGCCTGAGCAGCTCCCTCCATCACGCACATCTTCATCACTGAACCCAAGAGACAGACAGGCAAAAGTGAGAGAACAATGTGGTTTTTATTTGGTACACAAAAGCCAGCCAGTTTTTCTTTCAGCAACTGTTTCCAAGTGCTCTTCTGCACAATCTGATCAGCACACTGCACTAAGAGACATTAATTTTTTTTCACAATAGCTTGCAGAGAATTTGTTACTTACCAGCACAAAACACACCTTTCACCTCACTCTTGAACACCACCACGCGAACCTTCTCATCAAAGCGGAGCTGTTCCAGAGCACTGAACAGCTATGAGGGAGGGAGTACAAACAAGAGAAGAAACTTGAAGAATATGAATGTATATACCTAAATTATAGCAAGCTCCTAGTCTATGATAAAAGTTTATTTTTTCCCCTGCAGATGCCAGCAGGATCCTTCCATGACAGCCTCAGAATGACACGTTTCCCCATCTCCTTTCTTCCATTCAGAGATGAACCTTTCCTGTCCAGGCATGAGCCAGACCTGCTCTGGAATGTATCAGCCTTGAACAGATCATCTGCGAAGGTCTGACAACGAGTATGTTTTTGTTGTATTTACACAAGTAAGGAGCTTGACTTGCATCTGAGTTAGTTAACTTAAATCCAGTATCTGTGTCCAGTCCGCATCTGAAGTTACTGCAGTAGAGACATAGCACGATCTCTTTTTCTTCAGGCTAACCTGCCTTGCCCCAGTGCAGTCTCCCACTGACCTTCAACAAGAGATTAGATTTTTGTTTCAGATCTCCCACAACTATTCTTATTTAGCTACTGATCATGATTCCAAACATGTTTACAGGCCAGGCCCATACTCACTTCATTTACAAATACTTTTCCCAATGAATTTCTCGCGTGGGGTCGGTTCATTAGGATTTCAGCAATACCTTAGTAATAGGAGACAATTTCAGTTACACTTCATTTAATTCTCTGACACAGTAATTCAACTGGGAACAATATCTGCATATGCTGCAATCTTCTCTTTCCTGAAAATGCATATAAAGTATATTCTAAAACAAGCAGTTATTTTAAAAGTAGAGGTTGTAGACCATGTCTATGAAACCCAGTATTCAGTAGCACTGTGAATAATATAAATAACCAGACTTTTAAAACATGAACATGACATCTAAGAACATATGTCTTAGAATCACTGCAGGAATGGAAAAAAAAAAACACCAAATGATCCACCTTAGGTTTCTGTTTCAAATGTTACTTAATCCAGTTTTTATTGTGCAGCTGTACTGCGTTCAAGCGTACTCCTTAATGAAGGAACCATCCTCTCAGGATTGCTGGTTGCATGGGAATAGCACAAACTGGTCACTTGCTCTTTCTATTCTACAACTACTCTGAAACTGGAGTGCCATTTACTAAAAAGTTAATGAGCTCATCAGTGGGAAGGACTTCATTCAAAGTTCCTAAGTCCAAGCAGAAAAATAAGACCACAACATCTACCTACTTCTCCCTTGCATTTGTTTTGTAAATTATTACCCAATGCTTTCTGTATGCTTTGGAGAGAAGAAACATCTCTCCTGTTTCCTTGGCTGGACTTCTGATCCCTTCCCAGGCCTTAACGCTGTACGATGCTGCTGCTGTAGGTGCACAGATGCACCTTACACCTGCCATGTTTGAAGGTCTCGTCTTTATTCTTTTGCCTATGCCAGTTAGCCAGCAAAAGGTGTCACACCAGAGCAGAGACACAGGTAACGGCAAGCACCAGCAAACCATGGAAATCCAATTCTGGTAACTGTATTTGTGTATATGTAATGAGCAAAGCTACCAAGAACTGTTTATAAGTTCTTGCAATACTTATTCCACTGGCAATCTAGCCAAACTCGAATTGCTTGGTGACTCAGGCACGGCCCTGGGCCTGCCCCACCAGGGGCACCCTGCGGGACGGGTACTGGGAAAACCTGAGGTATACAAACCACAACTTCTGCAAACGGAACTTAAAGAAACCCACACCCAGCTATTATTTATTATCTGTGCTCTTGAGAGGAGTGTCGATGCATAACTTGAAGCAAAGACACGCTAAGCAA